GGAAGCCGCCAAGATTCTCGATGCCTACGGCAGTCAGCCAGGTTTTGGCAAGCAGCAGGCAGACGCTGTTCAAGCTTGTAGACCCTCTTCACTGGTACATGGATATCTCTTCCGCGCAATAGGTGGCCGAAAGCCTGGGAGGGCAAATAGCAAAACCCAGTAGTACCCCTCGTGTTAGCGCTCTACGGACATCCCGACAGTGGCTACACTTTTGAGTACACTGATCTTGTGCACCGTTGTTTCAAGAATAGCAACTCAAGCCAGCCAGCTGCCATTGTGACGCGTGCCTTACCCGCAATCATGGCGACCGCACATATGTCAGCAGATGAGGAGCATAAGGTGGAGACGCTCCGGGTCTTTGAGGACCACTTCCGCCAGATCATCGCTTCTGGCTACTACTTGGAGGATGGCTACTCCGAGGACGTTGATGCTGTCATCAACGGAGTGCTTGGTCAGCGCACAACCCATTCACGCTTGCCAGGACTTATCGACAAGAACCCGTGGTTGCGGCCAGAGCTCGACCCGAGGACCAATAAAGAGGAGCTGGCCACCTTCACCGGTGTGCCCTCGAGCAGGATTACAAGACGATCCAAATCCTTATCTCAGACAGCGTGCTCAACCTGGTGAGCGGCTGCGAAAGGAAGCCCAAGCGCTTCGACCTCGCTGACCGCTTTCAAGCTTACAAACCATCCTACTGCCAGCGCTACCACCACGAGTGCGTCTGGGGCGCCGAGCTTCCATACCTTTTGAAGCGGGCAAGAATCTCCATTCGCAACCTCAAGGCACAATACCCAGGCACCATGATCTTGGTGGGAGTCGTATGGTCAGGGAACGAACTGGTGGGCAAGCGCGGGATTGAGGACCATCAGCGCGCCCGATCCATGCCGGTTCAGGTTGGTGAACTCCAACATCCTGACCACAAGGCTGGAACTGCGTGACCAATGGCACGCTGAGAAAAGCGATGAAAATGCAAACTACATCTACAGCTTTTGCAACAGCGTGTTCCACTTGCTCATGCGCTTGTACGTACTTGCTGACATCTCTTTGGAAGTCAAAGCCACCAGTGACATGTCGACGCCACTTGGTATCATTGAGTTGCAACCTGATCGCAAAGCACCACATCAGCGCTACGAGGAACTCCTTCGGAGCCTCGCAGAGATCCGCCGCCAGCGTGCCGTGGCGGTTGCCGAGCTTGTTGCGCGACCGCTGATGAAGAAGGACGTGATTGCAGAACAGCCCAACCGGGCAGCGCCAATCACAGAAGTGGATCTGGCCGTCCTCGACGACGAGCCTGCTGATGAGCCTGACCTGTCGGACATCTTCGTGGCAAACGATGCAATTGTAGAGAAGATCATGGAACAACGAAAGTAGCTCATCGAAGAGGAGCAGGAGGGCATTGTGCAGAGGAGCTCAACATCAGTCGAGACACCTACGAAGGCAGATGTGAGGTCATCGAGGAGCTCACTCATCGTGTCGAAAGCGGACACACTCCTGCTACCTGGTTGGACATTGAGGAAGGGGATGCGGAGGTGCTACCGACTAAAGAGGAGCCTGACGAGATCGAAGAAGACGAGACAGGCTCAGTCGACGAGGCCACCGTCACTGGTGTGCCCGAGCCCAAAGCGCCTTCCTCAGCACATGCGCCGCCAAAATCAAATATGGTGGATGTCATGGATATATAGCTATCCTGTTTCCGTGCAGTATTTGGAGGACCAGTACAAAGAGTACGAGTACTGCACTGTGGAAGTCGACGGATCTCTTCAGCAAGCTGTACGGCTCGGCAACAAGGAAACCCCCTTTTTGAATTTGCAAGTGGTTGGGACCTCAACGGATACCACCTCTTCTTCGCCAAACAGCTGAAAGATCACTTGACTCAGCTGTCAAAGGTTGTGCGACAGCATGACCAATATCTTGGCTTGGTGGTCGACGAAGAAGGCTTGCGGACATTGATGAGGTGGCTCGATGCTTCAAGCTCAACCACAGGAATGCTCCGGACTTCACCGTGAAGGATATCATCGCGATTGCCTCCAAGGATAGCAAGCACGGATTCGAGTTCCTTGGCGTCCGAGAAGGCAGCAAGCGTGATTCGAAAGGCGTGAAGCTCTGGCCATTCAAGATGAGAGCAGCTGCCGGGCAAAGCAACTATCAAGAAGGCCGAAGACAACTACCGAGCAGCGGAGGTCACATATACTGTAACTGTTGCTCATCTTTGAAGCCCGAAGCCAAGGCTCCCTTCACCGGGAAGCCCATCGCTGGGATGGAAGACATTCCGACATTGGCATTTCATCGGACCCGTCCGGCCTGTTGGAAGAGGATTCTTGAGCAAGGGCTCATCCCTGGCGGTGGGGACTTCGTGGGATCCGACCGCGCTCATGTCCGATGTCGGCTACCAAAGTGGACTACGAGGCAAATATCCAGTGCTGTGGCCATCAAAGAGGGGTTGGAGGACGGCTTGATCTTCTTCAAGAACCGCACCGTTGACACCATTCCTCCTGAGTACATCGTCCTGGTCGAGGACACTGACTCCAAGGCAACACTCTGGTCCAGAGTGGGATCATCGGGCCTTCAGAACAAACCTGCGGATGAGGGAGAGAGCTCGGCCACCGTCATTGGTGCGCCCGAGCCTTCAGTGAGCCTATTGCTGCACCTGGGCAGCGCAGGGGCAGGAAGCTGAATCTGGTGAAAACCGAATGTGGCAAGTGTCAAAACCTCGTTCTTCGCGGGATGTGCCATTGCAACGTGTGCTCCGCGGTGCTGGATGGGAATAGCTGCCAGAAGCCACGGTCACGCATTTGGCTGACCTGAGGCGTGAGCAACTCGCCCGTGCAGGGCTGGCGAAGTCTGAGAGCTTGGTCTCGGACTACTTGCGTGCTGGCCTGAAGCTCCGTGTGACCTCGGCCAGCGGGCGTGGGAACATCAGCCCAGAAGCTGCGAAGATCCAAGATGCCAGGAACCGCAGACGCCGCGCTGAAAAGTGCGGGTTCCACAGCATCGAAGACAGGGTGGAACATGACGTCCAGTTTATGGAGCGTATGCTCCAAATGGGTCATGATTTCAGAGCAGCTCAACGCCAAGATTGGTTGTGCCATTGCCACTTGGCCAACCCACCACACAACAAAGCTCAAGTCAGCTTGGGCCTCGGGTATGATGAAGATCACCCTTGCCAGGCTGGCCTATACGTCGATGTAGTGCTCGAGCAGTATCCTGAAGCTATGGACTATGTTGTTGAGCAGTGGTGCATCCTCTACCGCGCCAACATCCTCTTGTTGCGTGAGTACTCCGAGTACGTGAAGACCCCAATGCCCATCGGAATCTCTTGGCCTGGGACGGTGTCCACACCATCGACGTGGACTAATCCCTTGAGGATGTCGCATTTGCCAAGCCAGCCATTCCGCTGCAAGGAACGACGTGATTGCAACAAGCTGAACCAAGAGCAACGTCAGCAGCAGGCCAAAGGGAAGCGAAAGTTCTTTACTGATGAAGGCGCTCCTGCCTCAAAAGCAAAGGGAGCACAGCCACCATCATCGGTGAGCCCTACGACGTCAGCCTCTTCCTTCTGGGGATGGAGCTCATGGGATTGGAGCTCGAGTCGGAGCTGGGGACGATGGAGCTAGTTGAGCCAAGTCTCAACATCCTTTGCGTGCATGATATCCTTTGTAAATTTGTATTGCGGTTTTCCTCCCAAGTCCAAACTTTCAAGCTTTCTTTTGGCGGCGGGGAGTGAATATTTTATAATGCACTTGTAGGGCCACGAACGGCGTTGGATTGCTAGCATCCATTGATGCCACAACAGCAGAGCCCAGCGCAAGCCCTGGTGCGCTTTCCGCGTCCAGCTTTGGTATCAAAGATACCTCAGCTGAGGGGGGGTTATTTTCACTCTACTGTAATATGTACATTTTGCCTTGCGTTGTATATAGGATATCATGTACGCTTACCTTGTAGCTCGCGGCCCAAAACAGGAGCGGTAGCTTGACGGCTGTTTCTATACGCCCTTTTCGGCTGGCCATGTAGCATTTCTATTCATTTGTATCCCACGTCTGTCACTGGTGGTGGCCGCCCTTTTCCGTTGGCCATGTGGCATTTCTAGTCATTTGTCTCCCAGGTCTGTCACCCCTTCTTGTCCGTCTTCTTCCTTTCTCCCTTTGTCTCCCGTCGTGTCTCCCTTCTTGTGGCTCACTGTGTCCGCCTTGTTTCCCTTCTGTTTCCTTTTGTCTCCCTTCTTGCCTTCTTGTCATTGTGTCCGCCTTGTCTTCCTTCTTGTCTCCCTTTGTCTCCGGTCTTGTTTCCCTTCTTGTGGTCATTGTGTCCGTGTTGTCTCCCTTGTGTTTCCCTTTGTCTCCCTTCTTGTTTCCGTTCTTGTTTGTCATTGCGTCCGTGTTGTCTTCCTTCTGTTTCCTTTTGTCTCCCTTCTTGTCTCCCTTCTTGTTGGGCACTGTGTCCGCCTTGTCTCCCTTCTGTTTCCTTTTGTCTCCCTTCTTGTCTCCCTTCTTGTTGGCCATTGTGTCTGTCTTGTCTCCCTTTTGTTTCCTTTTGTCTCCCTTCTTGTCTCCCTTCTTGTTGATGTCTCAAAAAGTGGGTTTGGGAATGCTTCGTTGTTGTCCCACCTGTTTGGGGTCTACGGTGGGGTAATTTTCTTTATGCTTTCTGGTCCCGTTTGGATAGCCTTCACTTGACCAAAATCCACTGTTCGGAACCACTGACCTGTGACGGATTTGTAAACAAGTCTGGCGTTACAAGCTTACACCTGCCGAAGAAAACAAAATCGCTTTGCAGTGCATGGACATTCACTCTTGGTTCACCAACCTGTTCTGCTTCTGGTTGACAGGCTTGACCAGAAGCACAGGTTCACAAGGAGCAGATCCAAATGATCACCCAGAAGGCATGATCAAAGGGGCTCGTGGGACTCCTGAATAGGGGTCTTCCTACCTCAAACCTTGTGCAGATCCAATGGATGCACTGCTCATCCTGCCCACCCCTCTGTTGGAGAGGGCAGCTGCAACATGCTGAGGTGTTGCAACACGTGTCAAGAGTTGAAGGCTGGGTCTGTCTCTGTGGTGAAGGGGATGGTCCTGTCTATTTGAGATCGGCACCTATTTGTGGAGCTTGCAGTAGATTGGGTAGATGACAACCACGTGGCAGGGCATAGTTTATTCATTTTCCCGTCGATGTCTGGGATTTCTCCCGATGCGACCGGGGTGACCGGGGCGGAGCTAGTCAAGTGATTTTCCACTTCAATTGATGTTTGGAGGACAAGTTTGGTCATGCAATGGCCTGTCTCTTTGAAGAGTTCAGAACAACCATTCTGCACGCTTCTGCAAACTATCCAGGGTTCACCAGACCCCCCAGGGTTTGCACATAGCAGTCACTGCCAGTAGTTCACCATCCAGGACTCGACATTTGCAGAATGGCTCCAACCAGACATTTGCTGTGACTGACCCCACAGTTTGCCATCCCCCTTCCATCGAAGTTGAGCGCATGAATGGCAGGAAGCCTATCAAGAGATGGGCATGCCCTACTTTCACATCCTTGACACGGCTCGGACCGGGCGATTCCCGGTGGAGTCGAACACCTTCCGACCACGGCTCGTCGATGCGGAACGCCTGACCGACGGTGGCACGCAGCCGGCGGGGGGGAATGCGGAAGGCCCAGAACGCAGCCGGACCGGGCCTACTCTCATCGTTCCGAAGCTTGCGGAGCATCTCAGGGTGTAGCGACCCTCTCAAAAAAGACATAAACAGTTGATAGCTTTAGCAGGGGCTTTGGATTTCTTCGAACCTGCCAACATCGTGTCGACACAATCATCGTTGATCAGACGTACTGTGCTCCACTCATGGCCCATGCATCTCAGAAGTATTTTTTATTGGTTAAACATATATATATATAACTTTAACCACTATCAATTTGTGGGTGAGATCGTGGTTCTGGATTGGGTGCGCAGAACGTGGGAACATATTGGCTGGTCAAGACCGACCTGGACCTAAGACCTGCTGGTTCTTTTTTTGACCTCCTGAAAATCGTGTTTTTGCATACTAACTTTACCAGGTAAGAGCTTCCAAACAAAAATCCTAGATCAACCCCCCTCCACGAGGACCTTTTGGTGAAACACCACGTGAGGACCACCTACACGCCACGGTCTCCACGTCTCCACTCACGTCGCCCGGTGTCGCCACCGCTTCGAGGCGATGCAATGTCGCAACAGCGTGGGCTGCCGCGTGCACGGGGATGTGCTCGTGTCGAAGGTGCGGGGGGAAGATGAGAAGCGAAGAGGTATAAGCAGTATACTGATCGTTCAGAACGGTGGGGAGAAACGAAGGGGATCAGGTGGGATCTCCACCCAAAGGCGACGAGACGAGACGGACTGGTCTGAACCTGAATTCTGCCTTGAGACGTGAGGGAAGCTGTCTCTGGTGCATGGGACGTCCACCGCACGCACGGGGTCCCTCCAGTGGTCCGGTCGCCACTGCGGTGCCCCTGGCAGGTGGGTGGGAACGTCCACGTGGCCCTTGGCAAGTCCACGGCGTGGGGGGGAGGGAGCGGGTGGGAGGAGTTCACGGACAGGCACGGAACGGGATGGCCAGGTGTGAGATTCTCATAGAACTGGTGTTGGAACTTTTGGTTAGTGCCTGGCGCCCTTTACACCGGAGTCCGGCAATAGCACTTAACACTTAGCAATGTGTTGCACTTTTCTCCGTAGACGGCCCCCGACTCCTCCGGACCGGTGGCTCCAGTGACCGGTGTCTCTCTTCCTTTGGTCCCGCGATTCGCAGCAGCAAAACGTGGCAATGTTCATGGTCGATACCTCACCACTGAAAGTTTGGTGTGAGGACAGGTCCAGTTTGCACATGGATGGTGAGCTAAGCCGGCAGCGAATCCGATCCGCACTGGAGGGTTTGGCTCGAGCCAGCACTGATCTCGATTTTGGCACACATGATTGGTCATGCAAGGATGCGAGGTTAGATGGGATATGACAGGCTACAAAAGCCTACGTTCATCAATGGTTTTGTTCTTGAGATGCTCCAATGGCTATAGCTCTATATAGAGTATTTCTACCTCTCCCACGTTGATGGTCATACGGGCATGCGATGATGGGATTGGTTCTGGGGGATGCTGCTAGAAACCAGGTGTCGCATCCAGGGACAAGCTGAGCTGGGGGAGAAGGCACGACAGTTGACCTGTAACCCATGCATGAACCTTTTGGAGACTTGACTAGGTTCCGCGAGAGAGGGTCCTCAGCACCTCAGAGGGTTATAGAGGATATTAGAGGATGGTATCGCCTCGCTGCTGAGTTTTAGGAGGTTTGACCGACCTGCTTCCCTAGCCGCAGCCAAGCTGCCAAGCTGCGGAATCCAAGCAGCCGCTTTGGTCATGGAGATGATGCACGTGCTGTCGGAGTCGGGCTTGGATCATATCAAGAAGCACCAGTGGCGAGGCGTTGAGGAGTGGTGTTTTGGAGGGTGTTTTTCGGCATGGGAATGGTTTGTTGGACGAAATCGATTTGGAAAATCAGGATACAAAGAGGTTCTTGGAGGTTCAACGATTCTGAGTTGACAGAAGGTGTTTCTGTTTTTCTGGGTGATTTGTGGAGGGTGATGTGGCCACGTGATGACCGCTGACGTGATGTGGCGCGTGGAGGGTTCCGCTTGGTGGTGGTGACCGGCTGACCGAAGAAGTGCAGTATAGCACCCGTTTCGGCCCGTTTCTGAATCTTTTGAGCCCTTCCGATGAGTACTGTTTTGCAAGACTCCCACAGAAGGACTGGATTTGGGACCCGTTTTTGGACCGTTCTTCCTTCTGAACACCTCGAAACGACCACTGAACCTCTCTTTCGGAAAGGGCGCGCAAAGCGGAACCCCACCCGTGAACCGGACGGACGTTCGAACCGCGACGGACGGACGGACGGACGTTTTTTCACCCAGGTACAAAGCTGGGAAGTACACGCCTTTGGACAACCTTTTGAACCCCTACTGGATCCAGCTCGCCGAGGCCCCAAAATTGCCTGCTTTTTGGGGAGGAGGGCTGGAAGGAGGAGACAAGGCCCATGGAAAAAGTAGATGAACACGGTGAAAAACAGCCACCAGAAGGATGGCGGCCAGGGTCGCTTCAGGAAAGGTAGGTCAAGTCCAAGCGTGGTCTTTGGTTTGATGGGTGCCTGCTTTTGGAGCTGCTTCTTCCTCCTTTTTCCACTCCGAACAGGCTGTGAAGTCCCGCCCGTCCGGGCCCGACGACTCCCCTCGACTCCCCGCCTCGACCAAGTGGAGAGGGTTTTTTTCCAGCATTGGATCGAACCCAGTGCTGGGGTTCTTGGTGAAGCCTGAAGCTTTTGTTCTCGAATTCTAATTTGGGATGGTCTGCAAGTGGGTGAGGTCCTCAAGATGAGGAGCTTGAGTCAGACATCAAAATCGGGCTTCAGATCGACCGCGGCCATGCCCAGCCTTGTGACATCTCTGCAAAAAGCTTACATATACATGTCCTCATATCCTCTAGGTTGATCATTCCAAGAGATGCCCGTGAGTGGAAGAGTGCAATATCTATTTATCTCCTGTGGCTGATGCTATGGATGTATCGAACTCTGCTGGGCACATGCCCTTTTTCCGGCGTCGAAAGCGTAGCCTTGTGACACGCGGCTTGCACTTAATTCCGAACTAAAGCATCCGTCCAGGCTTCATCCAATGCTTGTGGGTAGTGACCTGATCCCATAGGCGCCCATAGGAGTATCCATCGAAACCTGTGCCGTGAGTTCCTGTATGGCTGTATAATTCCTGGAACCAGCTGGGGAGACTCTCAAAGCACCTCGGGTTCAGCCTGCTTTTTTTTTTTTCAAGCAAAGCGAGGGCTCTACAAAAGTCACTTGGGCAGTATGCCTTACGTATTGCCGCTCTCCATTCGCCGTTGTTGTCACGGCCAATTCGTTCCTCCTTGAGGATGCGGCTTTTCAACAGGTGCTCATTTGTGCCCCATTTATGGATGACAAGGTCTGTCGGTTTCTCGTTGAACACGAATCCTTGGGCAGCATGTGAACCTGAACTTTGACAATGGAGAGCCTTCAAATCGTCGGGTAGTTGCCTTCTGGCTTTGCAGGGTGCTCGAGAACGGCCATAGAAGAAACAATGGCCGTCCAGGCCAAGATCAAAGTCACACCAGTAGTTGACTTTCTCGGAGGGACCTAAGCTGTTTCCTGTTTGGTGAACCCTCCCTTGAGGACGGCCCCTCACTCGGCCCCTCTGGGTCACAACGAACCTGGCTCGTGACCAGGCTTCACAGAGGGGGCCTCCGAGAAAGCCCGAGAGCACGTTCTTTGAGAATATGATCAAAACTTTTCAGCCTGAAAGCCGGCCGCCTCCAAGTGACATTGGAAGTCTCAGACACACGGCTCTCCCCTGAGAATAGGTGAGCGACGACTCTCGGCATGTAGTTGACATATCTTGGCGGGTCACAAATAAGAGGGCACAGGCAACTAATGGAAACGCTGTATTGCCAGGATTAGGGACAAGCATACATCCTCAGTGTCCTCAACCCATTTCTGCTGCCAAGTCTGAAACGCCACTCACCAATGTCTTCAGTTTTCTGCTGCGGTGTCTGTCGCTGCAGAAACCGAGCCGGTCTTTCCGGAAAAACCCGCCCCTACTTGGTCTGTCTTACTCCAGCAGCGGATCAAACCAACGTATCATTATTGTACATGCAGAGATCCAATGGGAGGGCCATGATCGGAGGTCTGGACGTTGTTGCTATCTTTTTCTTTGCGGCCAAAACGAAACAACAGTTTGCCTAGCCACAATGTATTCCTCTCTTTGTTTGAATTGAACACAAGCTGATCAACTCTGAATGCAATTCATATCAGTTTAGACTCCCGAAGGCAACATTCGCATTGTGTACCACACACACAAAACTTTGTGCCCGGTTGGCACGCTGGTGTTTTTAAAAAGCATGGACTGCCATTGCGGCCTTTGATTCAAAGACCTTTTTGCAAAGAAGACAGACATACTATGGCAAACGCTCCGACGCTCCGGCATTGGAAGTTCGCTTCGTCAACTTCTTGCATGATTTCAACGTGCCAGGAGGTCCAAGGACTTTTCAAGCCTCCTAGCAGAGAGGTCTTGCGCTGAAACCGCATCAAAACCGCAGGAACACCGCTGTTTCCGGGCCCATGGCCGGCAGCGAGATCCGGAAAAAAGCCCCCAATCAGTCATTCCATGGACCAAGCGTCTTCGTGAGGTAGACTTACCATAACTTACCCATTGCTATGGCACAAAACACACCCGAAGATGTCCTGAAAGGATATGACCTGATTGGGGGGGTCCACTACTAAACCACCGACATTGGGGGATGGTGCCATCGAACCTTTGAGACCGTAAATCATTCCTCAGCAGCAGAGCTGCCACCGACGTCATTCTGATGACCAGTTCGCACACGACTCAGAGATTCAGCTCTTTCGACACCTTGGTGATGAGCACAATCACCTTCAATTCGGCTGTCTTTTTTGCTTGGTGGCTTGTCCAGCAGGCTAGACAAATCACAGCTGCGGCTTATTCGCCAGGCCGCGGTCAGAGCTTAGCGCCCTAGCGGCCTTAGCCTTAACGGGCAGGAAAAGCATTCACTTGGTCACTATGTTTGAATCATCACCACCAGGACCATCGAAGAGGTGTCTATGAATAGCCTCTTAGAGGTTTAGGGGTAATTTAGGGGTGTCAAAAAACCGCCTGTTGGAAGGTCCTGGTAGAAGTTACTTTGCGGGTCATTCGAGCCGATGGCGGATGTCTGGTGCAGATCCGATCGCAGCCACACTTCTGGGCCCTGATCCAAATGACTCACGTGTGCTGGGCGGAACACATGCCTTGAGCTCAATACATTCCACGTCACGACGCAGGCATTGCCACGATGGCTGGCGCCCAACACTGCCGCACGGTGAGGAGAGTGTGGCTGGGGGGGTTTGGTTGGGTCGAAGTGTGTTGGATTCTCAAGATGCAGAGGTCTCTTGGGTGTGCGGAAAAGCCGTGAGATGATGGGAGGTCCACTTGAACGATCCCGTCGAATGGGGACCGAACGATCGAAAAAGAGGGTTCGAGTCGAATGGAGAACCTCGGGGCTTCTGGATTCTGAGCCAGGCACCTAACCCCGTCAGACGGGAGGGGCAGGGGCGGGGGGGTTCGCTTGTTCGGAGTTCTCCGGATCGGTGGGATGCTGTGGGTCCACCGGTGAGGTGACCCTCGTGGGCTTCTGCCCCTTGGTGATCAGCTATGCCTTGTCCTATTGGGTGTCCCCCAGCTTCGAGACGCCCCCGACACCTGGCTGGAGGGATGGGTGGGTGGGAGCGGAAGCTTCAGGGCCGACGGAGTAGGCGTGAGCACTGGTGGGTTGGCACCGGGCACCGGAGACCGACACTCCTGGAGGGGGCATTTGGGCATACCGCTGGTAGGGTCACCCGTTGGATTTTTGCAAGCCATGCGCGTGCCCGCCGGGTGAGGGGGATTTTGGGGTTGGCCTTGCCACCATCTCAGAGGGCTGGACATATGCGCGGGCCGCTCCGATCAGATCCTATGGATTTGCTTGGAATTCCCTTGGCTGTGGCCAACGGTGATTTGAACCCAAGAAGCCTTCGCCCTTTTTCAAGGTGCATATTGCCCTTTTTCAAGGTGCATAGTTCCCCCACCATGTGCGGTGCGGCAGAGAGTTGCCTCTCTCAGAAGTGTTTGGGACGTCCGAGCGTGTTTGGGGCAGCGTTTGGGAGCCGCGAAGTGTTGGGGCAGCCCGTGAGGCCGCGCTGGCTGATGTTCGTCATGACGGGTGCACTCTTCTTCTACCAGACCATGGATGCCATGGACGGGAAGCAGGTGTGAGACGAAGACCGACTCCGAAAGTCACCGCTGCCTACTTGAGGAACTCTGAAAAACTACAGTTACAGACTTCCAGGGACCCTCAAAACTATGAAAAACACAGGTTTTCACATACACAACCATTCTTTTTGCTGGGGAACATCCTATTTCTGATGGTTTTGTGGGGTTCCTGGTTATATAAAGTGGAACGCTCACGCCTATCAAAAACGGTGCTTTTGGAACCAACCTCCTGCGGTCGCGCTTCAAGGCGCGACGCACGGGGAGCAGCTCGCCGCTCGGGCAGCTCTTCGACCATGGCTGTGACTGCCTCGCCTGTGTGGCACAGGTGGGGCGGCGCCTGGGCACGGCCATCCGGGCGAGGCCATGGCTCCTTGTGTTGGCTGAGCACGAAAATCGGGCGAGGCCATGGATGAAAACAAAGATGTTAAATAGATCCTGATGGAATCAAGAAGGGTGGCTTCTTATGGCTTCTCCGCGGAGGCGTGTTTTCCGACCACGCCCGCGAGGGTTCAAGGATTCCAGTGGTACCATCCTTTTGACACGTGGGGTGTGGTCCATTTTCCCAAAAAGGCTCGAAGTACATGGCGTTCGAAGCATAAGCAGACTCGATTTGTTCATCCGAAACATGGGGATTTGGTCTCGTTTTTGGACCATTCCACTACCATTCACCCCTGTTCCCACGTCCAATGCCTCTGTCGTAACTCAGCCTGTTCGGCCGCCAGACGGGCGCGGCTGCGGCGGTGTTGAGCTTTGGGCCAAACTTCTTGGGGCTTTTCAGCTTGAACATCCTCTCGTCCTTGGGCAGAAGAGAGTCTGAGGACAGAGTGCGAACGAGTGGTGCTTCCACAAGAGCCCAAGCTGTCAGGCCAAAAGCTTTCCAAGCTGTCGGCCGGATGGGTGGAGGGCTTACACTGGTATACCGGTATACCAGAACGCCGTGTTGAGACGGTGAGTGGGAGGATGTTTTTGGATGGATGTTGACATCGACATCGGTGGTCAGAAGTGCAAAACAAAAGCGAAACCAACTTCTGGGCCCCTTGGTAGTGATTCAGTGCTTCGAACACCCGGAGTGCCTCCAATTTGTGGGCCCCTTAGTTCAGAAGGAAGAGAGTTGGTCCTTTGAGAAGTCATCAACCTATAACTACCAGCACCCACCCAGGTTGGGTGGTTTATAGACACCCCTGAAGCCAGGTATTTCCATCTCCAAGAACCACCCGTAGGGTCCAGGGTGGTGCTGGTATAACTTGTTACTATTCTTTTTAAGGGTCTTTCTTTACAAATCCGGTGACATGACCCCACTTCGCTCACCATTTTCGTGGGTTTTCTCTCTGCTCAGGTCGGGCTTCTTCATGGCACAATGGGAGGAGTATCACACTGGCACCCTGCCAACTGCCTACGGACCTGTTACTGGTCATGTCAGCAACGAACCTACTTGTCATGTTGCAAGGAACTGTGTTTTTGGTACTTCTTGGACCAACATCGAGCCAACTTCTCCTGGGATGTGCTTCTTGGAGAAGAGTAGCTTAAGTAGCCTCCCAGCCGTTGCATGGCTCGAACACCTCAACGGAAGACATCCCAGTGATTGACTGAAGACATCACGGCGTTTGGACGAGAGTCGTGTGGCTCGTCCGGTGGGTTGTTCAGCGTCCTCTTTCTTTTTTCATCATCCTTATAGTGGGTATGGTCTGGTCTCAGGCAGGTGTACTGGTTGATAGGCTGAAAGCATCTTCGTTTTTTTTGTTTTGTTTTTTTTATTTGTCAACACTCTACCACTATTCGCATTGACCCGACCATCACGTGCTGCTCGGTGTGTTTGCATCGTGTGCTGCGCATGCGCATCGCGGCGCCCTGCGAGGTTGGGGTCACCGAGACGCAGTTCTTCTTGATGGGCTTGACCTTGGTCTCAGGGCTTCTGGGGCCTCAGGCGATGAGTTTGTGGAGCTGGGTGCAGCCAGGAAGGGCGGAACAAGAAGAAGAGAAAGAAGAGAAAGAGGAGAATCAGCAAAACCATACCTAGATTGAGTCATGACTTTGTCAAAAACGTGAGAACCAATTCATTTTTCTCAGCTCCCTTTCTGTTCGTGGAGACACACGATCCGTGACGAAAACGTCTCAGAGACACGATCTGAACTCGGTTCGATCGGATCGAATCCGTCAGGGCCCCGAACGAGTGGTCGGTCGCAGATCGGCAGATCAGCCATTGAACGACGAGTTGGGCGGCTCGTAGAGAATGGGGGAGGTGGAAGTCGTAAGGACTCCGAACCAGCACCCAACTTCACAGGTCACCAATTGAAACCTGTTAGGGCCTAACAACCCTCCAAAAGACCTGTTGGAGGGTGCTGGAAGGTATCTCATATTCCTGAGGTATCCTAAGGACTCCTGAGGCTCAGCCACCTTCATTCCCTGCACCGCATCCCGCGCTCATCCACTTCCTGGGCCGGTGGGACCCGACACCACCGACCTCCGCGACCGGTCTGGTGGGACAAAACGCGCATGGCGAGGGGTGCCAGGTGGTGGAGTCGTGCCAGGTGGTGGAGTCGTTCACGAACATGGAGCTGAATCTACCTCTGCTGGGCACGGTGGTCTTCAAGACGCTCTTCCTGAAGGCGGTCGCCGGACCATTCGGTTTGAAACGGTGCAGACGCACGTCTTGGTGGTCGTTTTGGAGCCAAAGCCACGTCTTGGAGTCTTCTCCATGTCTTCTACAAACCTAGGTTTGGTTCTCCTATTGTTAACATGGACATGGCCACATCATGACATCCTGGAGAAGACATGCTTTTACTGGTAGCTCTTTATTTGACTCGGAGATAGGTACACACGAACGGACGAGGCAGAGTATTTTTAGCGAGACCCTGTGAGTTTGATCTGCATCATGCAACGGCATGTCCGCAAGTCTGCAACACCATTGCCCCTCACGCCTTTTTGCATGTACAGGGGTGGATGCTTTTTGTGGGCTTTTTCATGACGATGTGCATGCTGAAGAACGTCGTGGCATGGCAGGAAGGAACTTGTCAAGTGGTGTCAGTGACTGAAGCTGGGGCGAAACCACTGCGGCGCCCATCTTGTATGTATGGGAGGGGACAAAGAAGCAGCTGCTGTTGGAAAAACGCCTGCACCAAATTGAGTGGGGCAGGATAATTTTTCTTCAGTCTTAGTATCAGTATGCATCAGTCTGACCCCTGAAAACTTCTTGGAGTCTTGTAGGACCCGAGCTAGTTCGAGGCTCCAAAAAGGATCACCAAACCCCCAAAATCACCGCCCGGGCCGTTTTCGCAGCGAACGAAGCGAGCTCGCCGAACGGCACCCGCGTGGGGGGACCCCGCACAGAGGCACAGGCCCTGCGGGAGCGAGGGCTCCCTGGCGCCGCCGTGCTCCAGGACACGAGTCGGGGGGGGGGGGGGGGTTCGGAGACCCGCTCTTGGGGCCAGCCTCCGTATAGGGTCCCTTCGGTCAGACGAAGCGCGGCGCGGCACCCCAGCGAGCGGAGGATTTGGTGCCGGTGCTGCTGCAGAACGTGCTCCTGGCGTGTTGGAGTCCGCAGGTCGTGGCGGCCGCTGCGAGGGAGATCAGCCTCTGGACGCTCTTGCCGCTTGGAGTGAAGGATGGGAGCGATGTTCGGAGGCTGAAGGGCCACATGTGCCTAGCTGGTTTCCTGCGTTCTTGGGGCCGAGCCGCTTCCCAGCGAGATGACTAGGGGGGCGAACGGGGGGCTGACCGGGGAACGGAAGCAGTGAGGTGATCAGTCGAGGTGACTCAAGCTTTGAAGACTGAGGTCCATTAGACATCATTAGAACAAAACTCTCACACTTGAAGAATCAAGGGCACAAACTGAAGAATCACTGCGTTGTGGAGGAACACATCCTCTAGAACCCTCGGTCCATCTCTGACGGTTGTTTGTGTCTCTGGTTGCTTGCCGGCCCTCATCCCACAAACAACCCATCTGTGCAGGGGGGCTTGGGTGGTTCATTGCGCATACTTTGTGTGCTCATCCTGAAGCACAGGGGCTCCCTGAAGCAGTAGAAACTTGTAAGAGCGCAGCCTGCACGCAGCAGGAGCCCCCGCACATTCGCAAAATGAAAGAGCCTGTACAGACATTATGAGCCCAAACGGATGCAGTTTGAAAAGCATCGTATACCCCTCGGCCGAAGCGGTTTGGAAAAGCATCTCGCGTCAAGGCTGGAGAGATTTCAGGGGGTGCCCCATACAGGTCACAAACACTCAGCCAATATACCTTCTGTGTGTAGCGGTTCCTCCGGGGGCTTATTCCGGACACGTGCTGGAATTCATCGAACCAAGACATCTAAGAGTCCGGTCCGTGAAGCCAAGACCGGCCACACAGGCGTATCCCAGCACCCCACAGGCTTCGGCAACTCAAAATGATTCACGAACCCCCATAGGAAATCCCCATAGGAAATCCAGCAAGTGGAGCGTGGGATGTGCGCCTTGAACGCTTCTTTGACGACTGTGCGTCACTGTGCATGTACTGCCTCACCACCCTCGTCAACTTCACCCTCGGCATGCACGCTTCAAGTCGATGAGGGCACTGGTGTTGTTGGGGTCCTGCAGCCTTGGGTCGTCCTGGAAGCATGGTAGGAGCCATTCCACCATCCAAACGAATTTGCAGGGGTCACAGCAACGTCATGTGGGCACTTGAGCAGGTTCAACATCATGTTGGAGGGACATCTCCCTTTACCTTGCAATAACCCCGGGCTGATCTTGATGCCTTGCTAGCAATTAGTGCGGGCTTGTCCGTCCCCACTTGTACTACTTGCAAATGCCTTCTAATCATCATCCTTCACCGCCTAACCTTAATGGGGGGTCTTACTTATCCGAAGGTCAAGTGAAGGGTCTAGGAGCTGAGTCACTGAGTGAAAATGCCTTGTGCACGTAGTGGGACAACCGTGAAGATGACTTCTGTTTGGGAGTTCAAGAGGAAACAATAAGAATCGCATGTCCTTTCGGGTTACCAACTGGTCCTCACACATCTTTCGGTGGGATTCAAGAACGTAAACATGTCAATGTTTTTGCCTCTTCTGAAGCCAACAAGTCTGGTCCCCCATGTCATTCTTGGATCTGAGCCTGACAGTGGCTGAGGCTGCTGTTCTACTACACCGCGCATCTTGACCCGGACTCGGTGGCCGACCCTTCCAAACACTGTCAACGGTGGCGTGATCCGAGGTCTTTTCCATGCCCAGGTTGTCATGATTCTTTGTCTGGCCCCGGTCTTGGATTCTTGGGGGTGTTCAGTTGGTCATATATAGACACCCAAAGTGTGCCCAAGATCTGGCAGAATTGGTGATGGTTTCCATCGCCAAGCCACAGAAATTCATCCACTCATAGAAGCCCAAAGCAGAAGATACAGAAGCCCTTAGAAGGTGTTTGGGGTGGCTGTGGAGGGTCCAGTCGTGCCTTCTGAGAAGATACTTGGTTTCATAGGGAAGCAGAAGCAGCTTCATCCGTCACCTAGAAGAACATACCAGGACCCGACTCTACAGGTCTTGCGGGTGACTTTTGCAAGCTCAAAAAAGTGGGCGGGTGGAGGCCTGGCAGGTCTCGGGTGCTGGTAGAAGAACCACTGGTGGTGGACTACCGGGACTTCCCAACTCTTCGACCCCTCCCTGAACTACCGAGAGTCTCCGGGGCCCTTCGTTCGCATGGTCAGACGGTCTCCCGGGTCCCCACGGTCACATGGGTAGCACCTCGAGCGGTTTCATGACGTGGCCATTTTCGGGAGGGAGAGAGAGAGCAGAGTTCGGGTCCTGAAATCGGTGGGATTTTCTATGGTACCAATCCTGCCAATCCTGAGTCCCAGTTGGACGCTACAATCGACATAAAGGTCGTGACTCCCCAAATGTCTTGGACATCCTTTTTGGAAGTGGGGACTGGCACCGAGACAAGCCCTGGAGCTTCCTGCCGAGACAAGCGGTTTGGAGATGGTTTGGAGGAAGAAGACGGAAAAACACGGCACAGATCCTGAGACCTTGAGATCTACAGCATCCGGATCAGCTTTTTGGGGTGAAGTCTGTGCAGTGATGTGCAGTGACACCCCCTGGAACGGCCGGCATGGCCCCTTTGGTTCGGAAAACCATGAAATCCACCACAAACAGTAACAGGTGGTGCCATCCACGTAACCATGTGAGTTCCAGGGGGAGTAGGGACGGTCCGGCCCTTGGGCGGGGTTTCTTTCCTCTCAGGCAGATGATCCTTTTCTCGATGGCCAGGTGGGTTGATAGACCATTGGGTCGTGATAGACAATTGGATAGTCAATGTCTCTGGACATGTTTGCATCGAAATCATCAAGAACTGGAGAGATGTGACCACTGAACGATGGTAGATCTCTCTTTTCACGGTCTTTGGAGCCCGTCAGGATGCCCTTTCCCATGCTGCAGAAATGGCTGGCGCCCTACGTTGCGAGCTTAGAGGTCGGAAGTGATATGTTTGAGCACCACACGGTTTGGCGCCCAGAGATTCTGTGGGAGAGTCTGGAAGACTTGGAGGAAAGCTTGGGGATGCAGAGCACCCTATGGTTGAGGGGCCGAGCTTCTTTCTCATCATCCGCTCTTGGGTGGTGGCACGGTCAAAAGCAAAGCCGATGCTGTCGAGATTCGAGAGGGAAGTTGGAGTTACAAAAGCGCCACACCAACACAAGCGCCTTCATGTCAGCGGGCGCCTTCCTGCTTTCTTCGATCCACGATTTGACCGTAGAATGAGATCACCGGACGAGGCGGTCTGAGGCTCAAAGTCCGGTGTAACATCCCTCATGCACTTCAACTAGAAACTAGACTGCCCAAGAAAGCCTGGTTCAATCAAGCAAACTCTTCTGAGACCTTCCAACTGGCTCATGCCGGACCTCGAAGGATCTCTCATCTTTCCTGATCCCCAGAACCCGTCGACCCTAGGTTGTTGGGGCAACAAGAACAGGACCCGTCCGACCTGTCCCACATCGCTGACAACCCCAAAACACATCGCTGAACGACGGGTTTTTTCAGCTGCACGCCAGCGATGGATGCCTTGCCACTGGCCAGCAGCTTAGTGCTTCTGTGGGCGACCGTGCACTTCTGGTTGACGTCCAGCGATCTCCGGGAACTGTGCCGCTGGCTTGGCTCACTCGGGCAACGACGAGGAGAAGATGGCCCAGTGGATGAGCAAAAGGAAGCGAGAGTGGCTGAGGAGATGAAGAAGATGCGGGAGCGGCAGCCTGCTGAAAAGAGGGTGATGTCATGTATGTACGTTATATAATGTTATATACTGTATCGTTATATATTTGGGGTGTGCTTCGTGCATACGTAAAGCATGCAATGTTTCCTGAATACGTTTCACTGGCCAAAAAGTTTGGTGGAAGATGGTGGAAGTTTGGCGTAATTATGTACTGTATGTCATGTAATGGAAGTATGGTAATGGCTATGGCAATGGTCATGCATGGTAATGGCAATGTGCAGTTGGTATGCACTGGTAGCATGTACAACCAATGTAAGCAACCCAACCAGCAAACAACAGGTGTACCTCAATGCTCAATGTGGTGCAACCAAGTGGATTATGCCGACTCTACAGCAACAACCGAAAGGCCTTCCCACGCGGCCCTTTTCTCACTCCATGGCAGCCAGTGAATGGCAAGCAAGGGGCCCCTAGTATTGGGCCGACAAATGACCGGGCATCCGGAGCATGAACTCACATGTACCCTCATGTTCGTGACTCTCAAGTTCATGAACTGCATCTCCTAAATTTTCTTTTGAGTTCATGATCCTTTGTCCGATCACCTGAGAAGGTGTGGTCCTCGAAGCTTGTCGCTGCTTCTTGGCCGAAACAATGAAGTTCGGATCAAATTTCAGCTGCCAAGTGCGGTGCCGCAACAAGAAGGTCTCTGCAATCACCTTTCTTTTTGGTGAGCGCATCACCCAAATTCCAATCTGATGCAAGCCAGATCAGCTTGGTGAAGCAAAAACAAATGGCCTGCTTCAGCTGGTACGCTTGGATCGCAGCACGCATGTTCGACAGTCCGAGCAGCGGTGCCCCGTTCACCATGACCGAGTCAAATCCTCCCTTCGAATCGGCCCCCAAAACTCCAGGGACCAAACGGACCTGAGTGTCCGCGAGGCTCAGCAAATCCCGGCCTTTGAATATGGAGCCGGTGCCATGCATTCCCGCCCGCAACAGGCGTGTTCTGTAGACCACGTCCTCAGTCTCGACAATGGCCTGCATTTCGGCATCATTGGTGCCGATAGCCACCCTCTTTAGCTTCCAGCTGCGCCAAGCCACCAAACACATTGGTGTGGGGACGCCCTTGAGGGCGTCAGGACCTGACAGGAAAACAGTCATGCCCCCCGTCGACCCTCCACGGGGTCTGTTGTTGTGAGCCTGGCCCCCCAGGCCAACCACACACAAATCCGTCCAATGGCGAACGCCAGGCAACTTGAAAAACTTCAATGTTGAACCTTCCTTGCGCAGCTCTCGAATCATCTCTTGCAGCTCCTGGGCTATCTGGATCTTGGGATCCCTTGAAAGCTCAGTGATGAGCAAATTGCAGCGAGCAGTGATCAGCGGCTGTGACTGGACCGCTAACCACTGCAAGGCACCAAGTGATGTCCGACAGGCAGCAATCTCCTTGGGAGTCATGGTGGATGATCCGTTGCTGAACCGAGTGGGGTGCACAACAAAATCCTGCAACATTTCAATGTAAAACTGTTGATCCACCACAAGACATCTCCCAAACTTAGCGTCCTTCTGCGTGGACAAATCTGTACCTGCATGGCGGTAGCTGTTCTGCTTTGCGGCGCCCCAACGGTACTGTTTGTCAATGGCTGCTTTGGGAATTGCGAAGCTTCCCAAGAACCAACTGAGATCTCGCCTTTCTCGCCTTGGAGAGCAAGGAGATGAAGTCAGTACCTGAGACATCAGGTAGGATCTGCTGCATGGATCTTTCATCTTCATCGGAGAAGCTAAACTGCTTCCCATACACCCACTGATGAGGAGTGTATCCCTGCACGACCTCTGTGGCATTGAGGGAGTTGATGGAGAGTCTTCGCAGAGAGAGCTGGAAAAGATAGTGCCGTCTTGGAGGCAACGGTCTTGACTTCTTGAACTGCTCTTTCCATCAAACCATGACTCCAGCTTTCTTTTGCTGTGGTACTTCAATCTGGATGTTGAGGTCGGGGAGGGTTGTCCGAGCTTGGGCACTGACCATTGACTTCGCATTGTCAGGGCTTGGAAGCAAGCCTAAACATTTGCTTCAAGTCCGGGCGCCGGCCACGCGCACGTTCCCTTTCGGTTGGTAACCGAAGGTTATATACGCTCGCCGCCCCTGCCGCCGACCCTTTTGTTGGACTCCGGTCGACCCCCGCCCGACCCCCGGTCGACCCCCGCCCGACCCCCGCCCGAATCCGGTCGACAGATTTATATGTAATTTACAGTGTTTCGTGTGTGTGAGGTATAAAAAACACTGTGTTTTACAGGGTTTTGGCCCCCCCGGCGGCCGAGAATTTCATCTTGGCGATGTTAAAAAACGTTGGTTTTCCATGGTTTTTGCTTTGTGGGAAGGTAAACAGTTGTATCGGAAGATTTTTTCAACGTAAATTGCCTAACATATCCCCAACATAGGCCCAAGATAGCCAACATATGCCCAACATAGCCTCCAAGATGGCTCAACATAGGGCCAACATAGGCCAACATGGGGCCAACATACGCCAACATAGGCCCAACATAGGCCCAACCTAGGCCAACATAGGCCTAACATAGGCCAACCTAGGCCCAACATAGGCTCAACTTGGGCCCAAGATGTGCCCAACATAGACCACATGGGCCCAACTTGGCCCAACCTAGGGCCAAGATGCGCACCAGATAGCTTCACTTTGCTTAATATAGGCCCCACCAAGTCTCAAAGAGAGAGAGAGAGAGAGAGAGAGAGAAGAGAGGGAGAGAGAGAGAGAGACAGGACCCAGCCCTACACAGACCCAAGTGGGCCGGCGCCCGGCTGTCAGGCGTAAACCTCATAAATCAACCCCTTAGGCCTGAAGGGTTTTTACAATCCAAGTGTGGCGATTTTATCAATCAACATTGTACATTAGGGATGGAAGAAACATGGTAGCTTAGCTGCAAAACTATTCTGGTTCCCGGCATGCAACGATCCGCAACCCAGTCAGTAGGACCTGAAAATATGTGGCAACAAAAGGTTCTGGAGTCTTGTATTTGTTGGACAATCAAAGCAGTAAGGAACTACAAGTTGTTTAGCCGGTGTCTTTGTCATGTCGATTTGGTGATCGGCATATTCTATGTCTACCTTGTGGTTGCCACACCTACTCTTGACAACATTACACTTGCCACTGGGTGCATTGTGGCCTACGCACTCTTCCTGATGTTGGGGAGGGAAATGGCGCACCTTTCTCCGAACCTGGTGAAATTTCTGACCTGCCTTGTGCACATGCTCCCCGTCTCGGTAATCTTTGGAACCGTTTGGTCTGGCAAGCCGCTCATGGCGGACATGATGCGAGGCTTCGTGGCAGGTCGCTTTTGCCTCGTCTTGATCTTTTTGGATCCATCCGTTTCCATTCCTTTTCAATTTCTTTACGCTGCAGTGGACCTTTATGTAAATTTGTATGTCCTGCAGTCCAGCGAGCCTGTTGGTGAACTGGTCAGCAACCAGCTCTTTATCTTGGCAGAAACCATTTTCTCTTCGGTCTTCGTCGATCGGGCACTACGATCCCGGATCTATGCGCAGCTGGAGAATGCGGATGCGGAGTCCTTAGTCTCCAGCTTCAGGAGGATGCTGAGAGGTGTTTGCGATGGAGAAGTGCTCTTGGACCATCATTTCCATGTGGCCCAGGAGAGTGAGTGCCTCAGGCACTTAATCATGGCCGATGTGAGCCTAAAGGGTCGATCGTTTGAGCACTTCACGGAGGATCCCCAGCACTTCCGCCAGCTGCTCCGTCGACGGGCGGATCCGGAGGCCGCGCCGCGGGGCTCCCGCCTGTGCCTGCGCGGCGCGGCCGGTATCCGCGTGGGCACCGACATCTTCCACGTGCCCATCCCGGGGCTTTATGGCGCCGTGGAGCCGCACCACCTCATCGCCTTCAAGGAGGATCCGGAGGCGCGGGCGCCGCCGGAGGCCAAAGAGGATGCCGTGCCGGAAGAGCTTCTGCCCTGGGACTCGAGTCGCTCGCCCTCCACACGGGACGCCTCTCTCTCCTCCGGTTCGGGACGACGCACCTCTCTCGTTGGTTTGCGCACGGGCAGAGGACGGTGCCCAGGAAAGCGGCCAGAGTGTCCTGAGCTTCGAGACATGTTCTTGCTGGTGAATGTGGAGACGGAGCTACAAGATGTACAACAGGTGAGCGATCCAACCGCCTTAAGATCATTTAGCATACAGTCTATAGTAGGGGATGTGCGGTTTTCAATCTTCGAGAAGGAAACGCAAAGCTTAAGACCGTTTCTATTTTCAGGTCCTTTTCTGCTTTTTGGCTCACAGGTTGAGTTGAACTTTGAGCACCTTCCTTCAGCTTTGCAATCCAGCATGCCCAGCTTACGCAAACTTGTCCGGCCTACTGACTGGGAGAAGATCCGCTCACGTGTGGTGAGATTTGCAGAAACTGACCTCAAGAGTAGACTGTAGACCGGATAATTTTTTCCCTTGACCTATGTAACTTGGTTTGTTTCTCCTATCATCCCTGGTTACCCAAGAATCCTGCAGAACGTCCTGTCCTTTTTTGGGGGGTCCCGCAGAGGTGAAACGGCACCGCAGATCACCTTCATGCCACCTCCGCCCGATCCGAGGAAAAGACCCAGATGGATCCCGAGTTCCACGCGCAGGCGCTGCCAGGTCTGAGGGTGCATTTGCCCAGTCTTGGATGGCTCTCGGTGGAGGCCACGCTCCATCGGATGGCTCAAACTGGAAAGGTTTGGCTCCATCTGAGAAGATTTCGCCCAGCCTCCGGAACCTGAAGGACTCCAATTCTGTCCTCTTTTCCGCCATGCCAGCCAGCTGGGCCGAACTTTTTCAGCGCGCCTGGCTGCGCGTTCGGACCGGGCAGCAGGCCGTTGACACATTTTGAAGAAGGCACAGCTCTATAGCTGGCAGAGGTCCTGCAGGCTTGTAGCAAGCCTCGGAGAGCATACTCGTGCAGCGCGTTTTCAAAACGGCTTTGCAGATCATCATCTCAATCCCAGCTTCATTTCCAAAGCAAGTGGACTTGTGCCTGCAGATTGACCCTGCAGATCTGCCGTATTCTAGGGCATCTTACAGACGCAGATGGTGCAGTCCTGATCGCACATTTTCTCTCCAGTTAAACAAAACAAGATTGTGGACCATAGCTGTCATAACCTGTGACAACATCCAGGGTTCATGAGCAGTCAATGTAGAAACGTCAAGACCTATGGTATGTTGAAAGCGCTTGCTGACTCTGAGTGCAGCCTGATAGACGGGGATTTCGGTGAATCTGGACCAAGCCTGATCGGCTTGTTCCATTTGCTGGAGTGCAAGCCTTCAGATGAGCGAACGGCGCCCGAAACCCACGCGTGGTGGAATTGCAGCTGGCTTGTTGAAGGTTCATGGGGAATCCCGGAATCCATTTTCTCATCCCCACCGATGAACTCGCTTCTCACAGTTTCTCCTTTGCCAACTAATCCACTGGCCTCTGCCAGTGGAGCGGGGAACCTGCTGTCTCTTAATGGCGCTGTCCACCAACCTACCAGCTATGGCCTCCAACCTAATAGCCATGGACTCCAACCTAACAGTCGCGTAAGGCCCTCCTGGTGCTTCTCTCCTGGGCCGTTCCGCCCTTGCTGCTGCGGCGTCTCCTCGTCGGCTTGCTCACGGCCGCTTGCTTACGTGAGGGGAGTGAGGGGTGATGTTGGGAGGACGAAGAGGGAGGATGCGCAGGATGCGCATTTGCATGCATGCTTTTCACTGCGTTGAGGAGCAACGAACACGAGATAAAAGGTTTGGGGAGAATGGGGAAAAGGGGGAGCTTTCAGATGAAATCCTTGGTTCTGCGTGTTGTGTGTCTTTGCCGAGCCCAAGTGAGGTGATCTAAGCACAGCTATTTCACCAGCAAAAGTTCTACTCTCTCTCTCTCTCTTCTAACATACAATATGTATAATGCTGCTACTAGGTCCAACCTGAAGCCCGTTGCGGTGCGGGTCCAGCCACCATCGACCTTTCGAGGTCTTTGGAGTGTGGCTGCTTTGGTGGCTGGCATCGGTTCAGAAGCAGCTGACGCGAAAGCTTGAAATCTACACCTTCAACATCACCAAGAAATATGTCAACGGTGCTCACGCAAACAAGTCGATCGACTAAGTCACGACGATGTTTGGAGTGAAGTCCCGTTCAACGGCGGAATGGACCAAGAATGGACCGTTCGCTCGTTCCGGCGCTCGTTCGATGGTCACCATCGACCAAGGTCGCCTGGAGTGAAGCCCTAAAAAGAAGGAATGCACCGAAGAGGGGAAGAATGCAGGGATGACATAGGTTGACTATGGTCATAGAAGTTTGTGGGTCATAACTGTCACAACTTGGCGTGTCGGTCGAACTATGTTCAAGGTGAATGGAATGTGGTTTTGTGGAATTGTCCCGGTTTTGTGAAATCGAATGTCCACGTTCAACATACCCAATCTGGTTTTCTGTTTCACACACCACAATCAACATTTGGGCACGCTTCCTCCATGGGGCGCTTCCTCCATTTCGGGGCACTCAGTGGATGCATCAGTGCCACCGGGGGATGTGGGAGCGAACCCGGAGCATTTGTCGACAGGTGCGGGATGGAAAGCATGTGCACGAGTTCAACTTAAAGGACAGCCACCCCTCAAGACGCGGAGGGACAGCCACCCCTCAAGACGCGGAAGACGAAATGGGAAGACGAATGGATCACCGGTGTTGCCGGCTCGTGGTAGTGGTCCGGATGATGTGGTGGTGTTAGAGGTGATGTAAGTGGTACCTAAAGTACCAATGATGTGGTTGATTTCTGGAACTCTCTCCGCCATCCTCATCCTCCAAACGGATCCGAAGCCTAGAAAGCCAGCGGCTTTCCACTGGATTCTTGTCTCATGCCGGGATTCGGCAGAACGGGCTTCGGCTGAATGGGAGAAGCCAGCTTTCCTGCGGGTAAACCTCTGGAACGCTTCAATCAGGCCTTTCTTTTGGGCCCGGTCCCGGACCTTTCCAAAGACTCGTCACGGACCGGACCTGGGTCGAAGCCGGTGCTTCTTCCCGGTCCCACCGGATTTTGGGGGGAAGACGCAGGATGTGAGCGACGGCTTCAACACCTCGCACATCATTCATCGCTTGGAGTCAGGGCTTCAGCGCGGGATGTCTGGGGGTTTGGGTCTGGGGCCGCCGGGGGCGAAGGTGGTCGGGGCTCGCCGGCAGGTAGCCGGTGGGAGCTGAAAGGATGGTAAGGGGGGCCAGGGACGGGTAGCGAGAGCGGTTCCCAAGGATGTTTTGCGGGAAAGACGTGGAAAGATCCGGTGCAGGTTCCAGTTTCGGCCCGGAGAAGTGTTCAGGAAGCTCACAGTACACAACTGCTCAGAAGTACTGTACAGTGCTTCCTTATGAAGCAGTTGTGCTCCTGTTGTGTTTCGGCCCTGCACTGTACAGTACTTCTCATGTTTGTCACGTTGCTGGCGTGCTCATCTTTTGGAGGAGACGAGGTTTTGAGCTTTGGAACAAGAACGACCGGTCCACTGCATCCTTTCAGCGGCACTTCGACTGGAATAGGTCTTCGACCCCAACAGTCTGATTTTGCAAAGCACGAAAGATCATACACTTTGACTGTGTCTGGAAGTGGATGAAAAGAGGTTCCCTTCAAGGAAGACCACTTTCCTAATACCAAACAGGCTTTGCCCTCCACGAAACCATGTGATGTGTTCCAAGTCGCCGGAAAGGCTCCCCAAGACGATGGCTTTCTTCGGTGGCACCACTGGAAAGGAGACCTCAACACTTGGGAAAGAAAAAAACCTTCGACCAGCTGTTTCCTGTCCCCCAAACGTGGACCGGTTTGTGGGGCTTTCTGAACTGAAGGTTCGGTGAGCGCGTGCCCGGCGTGGAGTCCCCGCTGGAGGCCGGTTGGTCGTCTTCAGCCCAAGACATTTGAACCCTGTTTATCCGAGCCGCGCTGGTTGCAGTAGCGAGCCGAAGCAAGATGAGAGGGAGGGAGGGAGGGAGAGAGAGAGAGAGAGAGGGAATCTCTGTTGGTCGTTGGGTTGTTGACACCTCCAAAGATTACCAGCAGGGTCAATCATATGGATACCCTTTGACTGCATGGGACTTGAGCCGAAGTAGTTTGCACCTGCTATTACTGGTGGCACCAAAAAACATTAAAAACCTGCGATGTCTTTTTGGAGACTCTATTTGGTCTGTGTCCACAGTGTCCACAAGAAGCACTCCAAGTGTGACTGGGCTTGCAACAAACAGGCCAAGTTGAAGTCCACCAGTCTGTTGCCCTCAGTTGAAGTAGCCAGGGCACTGCGCTGGGTACTGCAGTTGCTGCGTTCTCCATCTTCGCCAGGGCACTGCGAAGATCGTGCTCAAGGGAGCCTACATGTTCCACTACTACATCAAGCTGGTGCTATCTTAGAAGGGGTCGAGTGGCGATCCACTTGGGTCGAGACAGAGCGGAAGTCGAAAGAGTTCGATGTTTTGCGATCTGGAAGGGTGGGAGAAGCAGTGATATCCATGTCCGTCCATGCGACGAACAGACGACGCATCTGCCGAACTTTGCAAGGTCACCTACCCCGTATGCTGTTATTTATTGATATATATATTTTTATTCAAACAAGAATCTCGTCTTTGCTTGAAGGATTAAGATGAACAACTCATGGAAAAGGCTTCCATGAAGATTTCGAGTGAAAAGCTCTGAGTCTAGTGAGGTCCCCACGCTGTTCGAGAGCGGCGATGGGAGGCGCGGGGTATGGGTGTTGGGGTCCACGGCTCTTCCGTTCTGCACGGAGCCATCTCGCAGCTGCGCGAGATGGAGGTCCCAGCGCATCGTTGGTTTTCTCTTCAGAAGCGGGAACGAGTCGCTTTTGGGCGGCTTTTGTGGGGGAGTTCTCTTCTCATCTCTTTCTCCCTTAGAACGCCGTCCGTTTTTTGCCGTTCCCTTTTCGCCGACTTTCGACCTACAGCTTTAGGTGTTTTCGGTGGGCAAAGATGGTTTCTGGCACGGCCTCTCGAGGCCCCAGTACACGCACCAGTACTCGGCGCGGGGGCCCGGCATGAACAGCTCTTCGGGGGAACGGACTTTGGGATGGATTGGAAGATGGAGGGTGCTGTGAACATCGGTACAAGAACAAGAACATCGAGGCAGTTGCCCAGAAAGATGGTGTTCCGATCCGAGAGAAGACATGCCGAGGCCGTGTCTGATCAGATTGAAGAGCCTCCTTTCCCTATTGTCTGTTGCCGAGGCCGTTGATTCCGACTCTTCTGGACGGTGATGCAAGCTTGACTGTGGAAAGTAGCTCCTAGTACCCCCATGACCAAACACCGAAGATCTGCCAAATAGGGTATTTGGATGGTGGTATTTGGAATCTGGTGGGGTTTGGAATTTCCAAATCCAATAAACTCCGGTGTTAAGGTATTTTCCATATTTGGGATGGTATTTTGGAAAGGGACCCTGTCCGCACATCAATGTTTTCAGTGTGAAGGTGAGTGTGACTGACTGACTGACTCTACATAAAGAGGAAGGTGCTGCGAGTACGTGCTTGGGCCGAGCCCTAAACCGACCATGGGGACAAACAACTGAAGATCCGAATCGGAACTAAGATAGCGTCTTGCTCCTTCAAGGTCCTTGTCTTTCGTCATTTCCTTTGTGGTCCTTTCGCTGCCTGTCCGGAGGTCACGGGCCAGGAGAAAGATGTCCTGGTACGGTCGGTGGCCCAAGAGGAGGAGCCAAGTATACATGCCCGACATGAGCAAACTTACTTTGAGGTGGGGGTGAGTCAGTGAATTTGAGTCAATGATTTCGACTGTTTTCCAATGATCGACTGTAAAAGTAAAAGACCTCGGACAGACACCACATGGCGAGATGGCTCCATAAGTTTTTAGACCTCGGAACCTGCAGGAGGATAGAAAGCTTATTACATAAACTATATCTCCATTTTGCTGGAATGGATGGTACTCGATCTCTGAGCTCAGCCGCTGTTCCCGAGCTTTTCCAACTTGGTGGTCCGCATCTGTCGCAGTGGGTCTCGGTCTTGGAAGTGCAGCGGAACTCCACCAGGTCCAAAGTTGGGAGGTGGCTCACTTGGAATCCCGTCGTGTGCACCGGCTTTTTTGCAGGTATTTTTGGCTTGGGTCTCAACCAAAAACCATTCGTCCACACCGCCCGGGGGTCGAATGTCCAACAAACCTCATCTCGAGCTTGCCAGATGAAGAAGGAACTCAGCTGGAGCGGGCCGAGGGTTGATGGAGAACATCGGCTTTCCCAAGCTCTAGCAGCTTCATGATCGCGGACTCGACCCGACCGGGGGGCGGACTGAGGCAGGGTGAATTGGCCGGTTTGCCCGGTGTCTTCCTGGTCTACGAGCTGCCCGGTTTGCACGTGGAACAACGTCAAGTTCAGACACTTTGTGTCGGGTTCAGCAACTCTGTGTCTTCGGGTTCAGACACTCTTTTGGTCAAAATCAGACACTGTTTTGCACCAATTCAGAGACCCGGGTTTCTTCTTTGTCTTCGGGCCCAGTGATAGCTTCAGGTACGTGGGGTGGTTTGGGTGGGGGGTATTGACGTACAGTAGTAGTTTCCGAAACCAACCAGTGTCTGAAGCCAGTGTCTGAAGCCACGTTTTCCGAAACCAACCTTTTAGTTTCCGAACCTGACGCCGCAGCCGTTGAGGCACGCCGCGGACGCCAGAAGTTCTCCTCCAAGGGGCACCACCCCGGCATGGAACCCCTGCTTTTTTCTGGAACTCCAGATCGCAAGGATTCAGGTTTCATCGTCACTCGGGGCCCTCTCCACGGCGTTTTTGGTCGCCGTCGAGGCCCAGTCAGTTGTATTTGTCAATCCGAACCGGCATGTTCGGTACTGCTTGGCATGAAGATGTAAGGATGAAGAAGGTGACATTGGGCTTTTTCGACTCAACCTTCATGGGCCAATTTACATTTACCCCACTGAAAACTAACATGGACCCTGAAAACCACTGGTTTGTAGGGAAAGGCAGTCTTTCACAGGGTCCAAGTTAGTTTTTGGGAGTGTAAGACGGGGCATTAAGGACCCGAGAGATCTTCCGGAGCTCTGCCCTTCACAAACTCACGCGTGCAATCCAACAACTACATCGACCGTGAGTTTAACGTGTGTGTGTGTGTGTGCATGATGCTTCATCTTAGATGCACATCCAATCGAAGGTCATTATCCCCCCTGGAGGGCTAATGACGTTCGATTGGATGTGCTTTTCTCTTTTCAGAAAAGGTAGAAAAGACACGCTGCACGACGAACAAGTATAAGAATGAATGAACAGCATGCGTGCAACATTGCAATTGAACACCGGACCCATTTTTAATCATTTTTACATTTTTTTCGAAGTTGGTTTTGTCATGTGGTACATCAGAAACCAAATAGTACGATTCAGCAACCACGCATCAACAACCAAACAGTACGACTCAGCAAACATGCTTCCGCCACTACGCGATTCAGCAACTATGTGATTCAGCAACCAAAATGACTCTGACCGATGCAGCAACCAAACTGCACGATTCAGCAACAAAAACGCAAGGTTCAGGAACAAGGCTAACTTTTCTTCCGCGTAGTGGTTTTTTTATGTGCACTGCTTCAGTCTTGTTTGCTTTTTTTTTTTTTAAAGAATGTTTTTTACTTGCAGTTTCGTCGGCTCAAGTCTATGTCATGCGTCACTTGTCTTTTGTTTGAGTTCCCTTGTTCTGACTTTACTTTTAGGGTTGTCACGTCGCGATCGATTCTTTCGCTTTCCTTCTCCTTCGTTGAACTTTTTTGTCGCTGACTGTTGGTATCTAGACTCCTCGATTGACTTGTCCACTCGTTTCAAAGATCGAGCCGCCGCTGATTTGCTCGACAAAGGATCTGTGAAAATAAAGGAACGCAGAGCTTGCTTGGGGAGAGCAAGCGCATGAAAAACGTGGAAATTGGCCGCACCGCGAGAAAACCATTTTTTAGGCCATAAAAAACCGAGTGCGGCGGACCGTGAGAGTGTAGCGTTCTTGACGTCATTTTCAAAAAGCCATAGACAATCTTTTTTAATCCATTGCGTTTTCCAATGCATTTAACGTCAAAAGCCTGAAAAAAGGGCGGGTTCCCAGGTTCACTCCTTTTATGGTGCAGAAGACCGTGAAGGCGGGGAAGAGGACGGCTCCATCCAAGGCTCAGGGCTGGAGATTCCAGCCGCACAACTTGCTGCTGTATAGTGGTTGCTGCTGTTGCTGTTCCACAGTTGTTTTGGCATTCATTCATAATTTGTCAATGGTTGCTCTTGTCAAGAGGGGAGGGTTTTGCGGAGGACGCTGATTTGGGGAGGGTCTTGCGATGACAGGCGCCATCCTTTGCAGATTTGATGGGGGTTCATTATCTTCATTTCCCGGGGCAGTGGGACACTTGTCGTCCTCAACGTCGAAGACGTGATTGGCACCGCAAGACTCAGAAGATGTTTCTATGGACTTGTTATTGCCTGGTGGTAGAATCCCAGTGCTGACCAGTGGCGCAAGAGAACTTGTCAGTGTCAAGGCACGCAATTAGCTTGGGCTCGAACCAGGGCCTGTGTCAGAGAGATGCACTCCTTTTATTTGAAATGGAACATGCCAACCTCGCATCACCCGATCAAGTCGTCCACGTTCTTCACCAGCTGCGACCGGGATCGACCGGGCCCTCCGATGCGCCTTCGCTTCCGTGCCATCAGGAGGTGCCCTTTTCGCACTTCCTCATCTCCGTGTGCGCCATCATCGGCGGCGTCTTCACGGCGCCTCGTCACGAAGCGATCCCGGTCCAGATGGCCGAAGGCGGAACGGAATAGAAGCTGACCAAGCAAAGCTTGCCTGAATGGACCACTGGCCCAAAAGAAGCTGAGCACTTGCGACCAACAGAGAGCATGAACTACGTCCGTGAACTCATGACTTGGGCATGTGATTATTTCGACGAGGGGTGAGGAAGGCGTTCCAGCTTGGGGGTCAAACAAGGGCACACCAGCTGCAAACCCAAAACATTCCAAGATCCATGTATGTCAACTCAAGAAGTCTGCCAAGATTCCGTGAACATGTTTTCATGTTCCCCCAGCTTTGGCCTTTGGTTTTTCTGGCCTTTTGCCATTTGCGGCCACACCGCTCACCATCACCTCGCGGTGTTCATCGAAACGGAACGGGCCATGGCGGCCATCGCCCGGAACCGAGGTGGCCGGTCTTCTGGATGCGGTGCTATATCGCACCACCCGGAGGCTCAAGGGCAAAGCGCAGATTTGAGGACCAAAAGGGTGCGAGGCTCGGTGGAGGCGATGGGCGGTCGTAGGTAGCTAGGCCATTGCGAGGAACTAAGAAGCTCCGTTCTTAGTAGCGTTCGAAGCTATGCTCGTTGGAGGCCATCTTCCTTGGGTGGAGGCCATTCCTATTCGGTTCCTTTTAGGAACAGCGAAGAAAAGGTCGGACTCAGGACCGAGGCACCGGAGAACCGAGCGGAGTGGGGTCGGGAGATGATGGGTTGGTGGTACCGAAAAAGGCGGTGACCCCCAATCACTGCGAAAAGTGGAGACGGGGCTGATCCTGGGTGGTGTTCTTTGGAGCTGGTCGATCAAAACACACACAGGTCTGTGAGACTTGGAGAGTCAAGTAGCCAGTGGCTTGTTGGCAATCCTCGAGTGAGGTTGGTGAATGGGAACGAGCCGAATGTTTTCCATGTTCTATCTTTGTGCTACCCAGTGACCCAGTGGTTTTGTGATGCTTGTCTGTGGGGTGGGTGGATTTTCGTCGTCCCACCTTCTTCGTCCGCAGCCGGTGGTGCTCCAAGACCCCGCGCGTCGTTTTCGGGGCGCTGGGGGGCGGGGGTTTTCAGCGTTTCAGCGAGCGCCTGCGGGTTTTCCGCCAAAGCGAATGGCGCTCACGTTGAGGCGCCACGGGGAAGGGTTGGGATCGCAGACCAGAAGCGAAGGTGGTGACCTATAGGGTGGAGGTGCAAAAGGTCTCCCATGCGAGGGGAAAAAGAAAGGAAACTCCGTGGCAAACAAGAAGACTTCCATGAGATTTCCAAAGTTTGGAGCTGCCATAGGTGGTCTCCAGGGGCAAAGGTGAGTGTTTGGTTCAAGTTTCAGAGTCCAAACAGACAATGTCCTCCTCTTTTTCAACGTTGGATTGAGAGGCCTCACTGGCAGGACATTGCCATTTTTGAGCCCTTTCGAACTGTTTACAGTGGTTTCACAGTAGATGGCACAAACCTCAAAATGTCCTTTAGATGGGGTCCATATAAACCACCAAACTTGGGGTAACTTGTGCCATCGAACCTCTGAAACCACCGTTTTTCCACCAATTCCTTCTGATCTTTGACGTACATCTCAGCTGCACCAAGGTTTGCGCTTTCCGCGGACTCGCCGAGGCAGAGCTTGGTGCTCTATGGACTCTTCATGGCTTTGGCGGTGGCTGGCCGCAGACCTGAGAGGACTCGGACCTGGATGGACCTGGACGTTTGGAGGTCGGATCCTGGAAGGTTTGTTTCCAGGTTCTTGCCCTGGGGAAGTCCGACTGGTGTCCTGGGTGGTCTGTAGAAGTTGAACGTGAAAGGACATCCATTTGGGTCGGTTCTTAAGATGCAAAGACATGCCGAAAAGGACCATACCGTGCAATACCCGTGATCCACTGAGTACACTGACATCCACTAGTCGGATACTCGCCGCAAGGATAGCCCCTGACCCACCTGTCCAGACTTGGTGTTTCCGACGAGGTCCGTGCCATATCGTGCCATTCAGTTCACCCAGCTCCCGGTGAGGTCAGGATGCGACCCTCAGCGGGTCGCGCATGCGCATGTTCGCTGCATCGTCAGCTGGGGTGAGTGCCAGCTTTCAACCTCCAGCCCATATCCTGTTTTCCTGGCTCCTGTGGTTTGAGGTGTGGTCTACTTTGTTCGGACTGCACCACCCTTGCCAGAGGTGCGGAGAGCGGAAACCGCGCGTTTTGAGCGAAAACAGCTGTGGAAGTGAAACGAACGAAACAGACACCTTTCAAAACGACTACTGTATATATTGAACATTCTCCACACCATTCTTTCCTGGTTTTGTTCCGCGCCCATCTTGGGCCGCTGCTTCTTCTCTGCCCAGCTCTCTGCCCAGGGTGAAAACAACTCCGCCCTCCAAACAGCTGGATCGTTCGTCCCCAAACCCTCACCCATGGCCCAAACTCCATTGTTTTTTTTCTTTTCTGTGACTGATATCTCCGATCCTGAAGAAGAAACACCGCCTCCCGCGCCGAAGCGGCCGCCCCCCCCGCCCCTCCCGACCCCAACCGCCCACGGCGCGGCGTCCGGAGTTTCAGCGCCCAGCCCGGAGACCCGGACCTGGGGAGCGACCAGGCCCAGTGCGCGGAGATCGTGACGCCCATGGACGTGGTTCGGGGGCGCTTGGTGCGGTGGCCCTTGGAGCACCGGAGAGCGGCGGGGTCGGTCGGCGTCGGCGTCGGCGTAGGTACGTGTGGAGGACCTGGGTCTCAAAGAGAGCCTCAATCGGAGTCATTGACCGAATTATATAAGACGGAATAGGGACTGGCTTAGGAGGGCCTTTGCACTGGACGACACATGCTTAGGAGAGACTTGGAAAAGACTTTGAAAAGCTTAGGAGAGACTTGGAAAAGCATTCAGAGATGTTCGTGGCTTGGGCGCCCTGTTCACACCAAGTATATACCTCGCTGGTGCAGTTTTTTGGGTCGGCAGGGGTCTCACCCGTGCATCATGCAGGAAGCTCCCCCACTGGACCTTTTTTGCAGAAAAGCCCTGCGGTTGCCTGGACCACTGGGCAGGGTTCGCAAGTTCACTGGGAGATCCTTCAAAGGCCACCGAGCAGCAAAGTCTGAGCAGGTTGTGGCAGCATGTGCATGGGGGCTTGATGTTTTGGCAGCTCACTTCTGGTCGACTCTGCCAGTGTGGCTTAAGGCTGAAGAAAGCCGTGTGCTGTGATAACAGAAAGCTCGCAGGTTTGGAGGCCAACGAATCCTGGATCAACTGAAAGCCTCCATGCCAAAGTAGAAGCAGCAAGAACAAGGCACCTAGGCCTAGGCCTTGAGGGGCCAAGAAAAGGCGTTCTATCAAACCGTCCGGAGCCCCCTTCAACATCCACGCAAAAAGGCGTCGTCGCCGCCGTCAATGAGGGCCAAGGACCCACAAGCGAAAAGCGCAGCATGAGCGCCATGACACTTCCGCAGGTGACCCGGTCAATGATAAAACCACCCATTTGGATTGCACTGTAGGACTTCTTCAAAATCGGGGGGATTAGAAACATCAAGAGCACTACATTGACATCGCTTCTCCCGGGGCCGTCATGACGTCGACGGGGTCCGTCTCGCCCTCCAGCACGTTGTCCTCGGCGCGGGGGCCTGTAGCCGAAAGGGGTGGAGGGAAGAAGGTTCGTCCAACAAAGGAACTTGATTTGGCCTTCCCCGGACCCAATTTCGTCTAAAGAAAGAGTTGGTTGGCCAGGTTTGGTCTGCAAGACAATGGTGGTTCTGCAAAAGACTTTTCAAGCAAATTTCTAGCCACCAAAGGGGTTGAGCGCCCGGAATTCGCGCGCACATGTTCTGCAGTTTAAAGAACCGCAACAGATCATCGATGTGTTTGGAACCGTCACCGTAATAGTCTATTTAAGGTCCTAGGCGCAAATCAACTGGTCACCGAGTGTGGCCGTTGAGGATCCAAGAAGCCGAACAGCCCAGAGCTGAGAGACCACCTTTGCACCGTCGTCGCCCTCGGGGCTTCGAGGGGCGAACGGAGGGCTTCGGGCAGTGACCCCAGCGCTTCGCAACTCGAAGTACTTGAGGGTCCCATCAGAAGTGACCCATCACCACCCACTTCGGATGCCCACTTCGACGCTCCGTCCTGGTTTGACCGTGGCTTCCCTGAAACCGGCGCAAGACCCATCGTTCAACCCCCCTGGCTTGGGGCGCTGCACACACACACAAATCATTTATATAGATGTCAGAGGAACTCCTGATCTATGTGATGGACACATCCATTAATTAGTCTTAAAACGAGATGAATTCTCCAATCCGAATTCGTAACAAGAAGCTACTACGTGGAGGCCATCGCTATTAGATTGGAGGCCATTACGACTAGGAGCAAGGACGCAACTAGGGTGTAAACGATGCCCGTGGTCCTCAGTGGTCCTCTACACTTCTGCTTCAGAATCCCTCCGTCCTCTCTTTGGACTGGACCAGACGTCGATTTGGGCAGGCAGATGCTGAGCGCCTTCTGCGCTTGGAGCGTCGGCTCATGGGCAGCGCACACAAGCAGGCGCCACCTTCGTCTCGGCCCGTGCAGGTGCTCCACGGCGGAGAACCGAGCCGACTGAATCGATGGCAAGTGATCCGAGCCGACCAGTCGTTCCGGGTTTGGTGAGCCAAACCGAGACAGATGCCCAGAAGAAAGCGATGCCCAGACCGTTCTCTTTCTGTCAACCCGGCCCCCACAGAGTTGCGGGGTGGTGACCATCACCCCCTGAACGGTACTTTCCATCCAAGCACCATCCGTTTCCAGTGGTGCTAGTTAGTACCAGGACCTTAAGACCGTCCGGTGGTTTTTGGGACACCCCTTAACCTCTAAGAGACTATGAATAGACACCTCTTGGAAGGTGCTCGTAGAAACCTATTTGTTTTGTTGGGTGGGCGCTGGCTGCTGGAACACGCCATGCGACCGATCCTCCGCTCAGTCCCATCGACCAAGCGACCGATCCTCCCGAGAGAGGGCGGACTCAGGCCGAGAGGGAGGTCATGGAGGAGTTCAGGCGCGCGCCTCCGTTCGTGCAAGAAGCGTGAGCTCGAGCTCGAGGGAGTTGAGGAAGATCAGCTCGGTGTCCCGCAGTTCAGGTGGGTCCTGCAGTTTTAAGATGTTTTAAGAAAATTGCAATCGAAGGACTGAACCGAACTGTCCAATTTTTGGTTCATTTTTGTTCCTACCAGCCTATCGGCAGGGTTCGGAGGTTCCTTCATTCTGAGACATAATCAGTTGCGCAAGAGAAACCTGGAGCATTTGGAATAAGCCGGGCTGTTGCATGTTGCCCTTTGCCTGGTTCAGGGTTCACGTCCATCCAATATTGGTCCTACAGTGGTAAACACGCAAGCACGTACAGTCAAAGCATCCGAACAACCCTGGAGTCTTTGAATGAGACATCATTTTCCCGGGGTGCCAGATGGACACCCACACATCTCCTGACCTCTTTGGATAGGGTTGCTGGGATTTTGAGTCACTTGGGGACTGGAATTTGATCCTAAACCTACGCACTTCGATGCCCACAATGGCATGGGAGCTGTGCTGTCCTGTTGACCAGGCAGACCCTAACTTCTCTTGGGACCCGTAGGGTTTGGTAATGTGTTCCACTTGGCCCGTTGGAGGCTTTCCCCATTCCCTTGAAGATCTTGGATGTGCCTTTGGTTATTTTGTCCTTTTTGCAAAGCCACAGGCATCGGGAGTACGAGGAGAGGCTGCGAGCAGGGCACACCCAGCGACCATTTCCGCGTGTCTCGTGGCCGCGGGGCGCCACTCGTGGCGGCGTGGCGCCCCGCGGTCCACACCACCCCCAAGTTTTTTTATAAAGCAAACTTGGATACGGCCAAAATGCATGTTACGGTGCATTGCATTAAGGAGCTACCACTTGGGGAGGAGCTGCGTCCCAGCTGAATAAAATGCAAGCCTAGGGAGCTTCTCGCGCTTGGAGCCGACTCGCTACTCTTCCGGGGGTCAACGTGTTGGGCGAAGGGGGCACGGTGAATGGCATGGAACATGAGCGAGAAGATATAGAAGAATCAAAGGTGAAGGTAAGGTTCCGACTCACCTCATTCGAAGATGGGCATCGTTGGACATCCTTCCAACCCCTGCAAGTCCGAAGTGCAAGTTAAACGAGTACTTTTAAAAAAGAACAAGTTTTACGGGTACCTTTTATTTGTCGGAACCCAAGCCCTTTTATCACGCGAGTTCAACATCACCGCACTAATGGGACATAGAACCTGCAAAAATGCACCCAATTGTTTAATTCATGCAAACAAAACAACTGTCAGATAACGTCAAATATTGCAAAATTAAAAAACCCTGGTCACGATTTCCTTACATTTTGCAAACATTAGGGGACTAAGGTGACTAAGGACCTGTTACGCTCCAGTTACGCTCCGTTACGGTTTGGAAGATCATTTGCAGTTTTAGAAGTCTCCTGGAGGGGGTTGTTACGGAATTGTTACGCTCCTGTTACGCTCAATAGTTGGCCAACAATTCAGGCCTCTTTGCTCTTAATGTCGAATAATCAGCCTCAAAACCACCAAGAACACCTGGAATATCACTCAAAATCGCCTTTGATTCCCTTCCAAACCACCTGAAGAGATCATAAACATTCATAAACACTATCTTTGGTTTTAACGGAACTTTAGTGGGACCAAGTAAAAGTGGGTTCTATTAAAGTACTGTAAATAGTGGTCATTGTCTCCAATTCCATATGAACAAGTTTAACGAGGTCATTGACTTAGAGGGAACGGTTTGGTTCATTTTTCCACCCATACCATACCTGTGGATGTGATCATCCACGAAAAACGCCTGTGAACGTCGACCTGAGGCCGAGGGGCAGCACTGGGAAGCTCAGAGCTTGTTTCTACAGAAGCTTCGTATGGAGGTGGACCAGAGACTCGTTTAAAGCCGGACATCTTCATGTAGATACGTGATGAATAAGTAACCCCCCTCCATAATTTATTTTTTCATGTGGAGGGTCTTTTTGGATATTCAACATTCAACCCATATTCAACAGGGCTTTGTTTCTCCGTGGTTTAGGGGCCGGATGTGTTGTTTTCCTGGGGATTTTCATGGGTTTGTTCTTTCCTTGGAAAGTTAGGAACACCAGAACACCCAGTAAACTGTTCTACAGACTTTATATAGACCTTGGAATGACACAGTCACAGAGCAATTCTAGAGTATTGCAAGGGACTGCAAACATCTCAACTGGCGCCTAGCGCTCCAGTTTTGTTTGCGTCTTTCTCCAAGACACATCGATTCTTGATGCGGGGGATTTAGAATTCTATCCTGGAGGTTCTATCTCCTGGTGGGTGTCTTGGCGTTGGTCAGAAGCGATGCTTCCAAACGCTTCTTCGAATGGGAATCCCACGAGCTACAGCACAGCGCCGAATAGGTTCTTCTGCAGGACCCCCCACCCCGGGGTCCCGGACGTGGAGGAAGTTCCTCCCCTCCATTCTAACTGCTCTGGATGGAAGAGTTCCAGTCGGGTCGTGACATCAGGACGATCTTCCAAGCCACGAACGGAGCGCCGAACGGCCAGGCGGCGCAGCGGCGCCGGGCACAACGCGACGAGGCGTACCGCGCCGGGCGCGACGGCGACGCGCGGAGAGCTGGATCCAACGACGCCTGCGGGAGCCAGGAAG